TTAAATATGAAAACGGAGTCGCCACTTGGTATAGATTTGGGGTGTACCAAGTCACCCAAAAAGTGTTTTTTAAAGACAAAGTAGTAAAACCCTTTTTAAAACGACTCCTAGTCCACGTAAACCAAAGAAAAAGGTTCGGGGGTCACGTTTGACAAAGGGGAAGGCAAGGATAGAATCCAAGGCACCCCTTTGACCTAGCCAAGGCTAGTTGCGCGACTTAACCCTACCTTTCCTAATTTTCTACCCAATATATGTTCGCACGTTGGACATGACTATATGAATGCAAAAACCTAGACCTAGGGGGATCGGGGGAAATTTCTCTCCAAAGGTTGAGTGGTGCCAATCACATTAATTGTGAAGCCCAATAATGATCCTTTTGGAGAGGTCACACCTAAACCTAAATGACGTGAAAAATGAGTGGAATGCATGCCATGTGAAAGTGTGAGTTTGTGTGAAGTGAGAAAAATGATAAAAGTAATAAGATAAGAGTGAAGGTGTGCAAATGTAGATGAAAGTACTCGTGTGCGAGTGAAGATAAAATGCTCGTGTGCAAGTGAAGATAAAAGGGTTCGTGTGCAAGTGGAGACAAAAAGTGTTCGTGTGCAAGTGAAGGTGATAAAAAGGTGCATGTGTGCAAATGAGACGAAAGTGAAAGTGTAATGATAGAGTGGATTGAGAATGCATGAGTCTAGGGAATTCATGCAAATTGGGTACGGGGAGACCTAAATCGTGACTTGATTTTCCCTTTGATTAGAAGGCGAAACTAGCGTGCTAAGGCTATCGAGTAGCCACACTCGCTCGTTTCCCTTATCGGAAGGGGACACTCAAGCAAAATGAACCCTATAGCTAGTATGGGATGCAAAACCTAAAGTGAGGGGAAAAGGGGGTCGAGGATCATGCCAAATGATAAAACTAAGGAAAATGCGTGATATGTAGTGAACAAACAAATAATGCATTAATGAAAAACAAAGGAAAAATCCTATTGGGTCTAGCGTTGGACTAGCCCTTTCTATGAATTCCTAATGAAAATAATGAGCCACAACTAGCGTTGGACTAGTGTGGTGACGTACATTCATCCATTCCATTCATTCATGGTTATGAAAGCAAGTAGTCATGCCAAAACGCTCGTAAACACATAGCAAGTAGCACTTAGCATGCTCGACTAGATGCAAGAGCCTACTAAAGCAATTTAACATGTAACAATAAAAGCAAGCAACCAGGGGGGAAGGGGAAGTGGACCAGATGCTCTCCGAGCCCTATCTATTACAAGCCAAGAGGTGTACACATACCCCATGAAAGCATAAAGGGAAAGGGGAAATGGACCAGATGCTCTCCGAGCCCTATCTATTACAAGCCAAGAGGTGTACACATACCCCATAAAAGCATAAAGGGGAAAGGGAAATGGACCAGATGCTCTTCGAGCCCTATCTATTACAAGCCAAGAGGTGTACACATACCCCATAAAACTTAAATAAAAGTAAAAAGCAAGTAAATACATGCAAGGAGGTAAGGAAAGCGAAGTAGACATGCATATTCACATAACACGTAGGGGCACGTAAGGTCAAATGTAGTGCAAATGAGGGATAGAGTGTACCTCCCTCGAATTGACGCCCCAATGAGGTGGGATTATTCAATTACCCTCCAAAATAATAAAAAGGTCAAGGCACCACTTTATTTAAGAAAAATTAAAAGAAATGGGCAAAACAAAGCTCACTTAGCCATAAAGTCCCTAAAGTCATGAATTGAATGCAATTGAATCAAAGCATAATAATTAATTAAAACAAACGAGCAATGAAGTTGTAGAATTAAAATTGTCAAGGACCAAATTGAGGAAATTATTCAATTGGTTGGGTCATAGTGAAACAAAAGGGACTTGGGGGGTCAAAGTGTGATTTTCAGAAAGTTATTTCATGCAGCTCATGCAATCCACGAATGAATACAACTTCTGCAATACATTTGGACAAGCTGATAAAGCTCCTGAGCAACGAAGCAAGCTGCGGCCTCCATTTCTTTTGCGGATTTCAGCCTTTTAAAGAAATTTTGAGCACATGCTTTTCAAGTAAACATCAAAAAGCTCCAATCTAAAGAATGAATCCACTGGAACTTGACATCTAACTTTCAAAAAGAAACTTAGGATAGGACCATGAAGCTGCTGGAACTTTATCCTTTTCTGGTTTCATATCATTACAATGTGCGGCATTCACCAACCCAAATATCATTAACAAATATCAAATTCTACAGGGTATCACTTCCAATCATTCAAACCATACAAATATCACGCCTTCATCACAAGACTAAAACAGAAAATCCGGATTGATGACTACTGGAAACACAAGAAATATCAGCCAAAGAAAGGAGTGAAGCGCTGCAATTTCCAGCCGCAGCTCTCTATTCATGTGAACCAGATTTCTGATTCAAATGCACAACCTTGATCAAATGTTTTTAGCCCAGCATCACGATTCTAAACCCAGCAACAAACTACCTAGTGACCGCAATTCAAATGACCAGAAAACTTGGGAAGACATCATACAAGATTTCTGGAAAATGCATGCAAAAACGATTCGACAACCTGATCATTTATTTTTCCAGCAAGCATTCAATCGTAACTCAAATATTTCTAGACCCAAACACACAAACCCAAACCCAAATCATTCCATTTCTTCCCTTTAACATCAGATTAACATGCAATTTAAGTGTAAAGATTCACTTGAACAGCCATGGAAAAGAAAACAGCAAGGAAAAAAATGCAGCGGCTTTTTACTTTTTTACTTGCTTCGAATTTTGCAGCTCCAACTAGTGTAGGTTACGTGCTGGGACCATTGCATTGATCTGTCCATTTATTTACTAAACTCACAAACATCTTTGAACATGAATTTATTGCCTGACCATCCCAACCGAAACAACAAAGAAAATGCAGCAAACGAAGCTCAGTCGTGAATCATGCATTGCCCAGAATTCTCCAACCAGATTGCGCACCAAGACAAACAAAAGAACAGTCATGAACTCTAATGAAACATGTAAATCCGTCAATTAACTTCTCATGGACTTTATTTCCACAATCCCAAAGCCAAACTTAAACACAGAAAGGGCCATAGTCAAAAAAAACATCTAGAAATGAGCATGAAGAAAACCCATTAGCAAAAACTCAAGATTCATGTCTAACAAATCGGAATCTTCATGAAATGCATATAAAAATAACAAAACGGGAAGCAAGGGTTACCTCCGTATGTTTACGGGGCCAAAGCAACGCGAGCAATCTGAAGACATGCGTTCGAACGAAAGGTTTGAAGCTGCAAATGGCTGAGATCTGCCTTTTCTGCGAAAATTCTGCACTTTTCTTTCAGCCTTCCTCTTTTGCTTCTCGCACTGCCCGAAATTCCTTCTCCAAGTTCCAGATTTCAGCCGCAGCTCCCTTCTTGGTTTTCCTCAACTTTTTCCAGTTCTCTTCCTGGATGTCGCTGTCATGGTCGTGGTCCTCATCAGGTTTGGTGAGGGCAGGAGCTGTGGTGTTGAGGACATCGTCTTCAGCTTTAGCTTCGGCGTCTGTTTAACCGCTGCAGTAACTGACTTGGAGCGAGAGACAGCAGCTTTGGTGGTTGCGCCAGTTGATAGCTTCTTCTTAGCAGTCGATGCAACTGTTGCGGCGAAGGAGGAGGTTGACAACGATGGCGAGGGGCGAGATTCAAGTTCGGAAGGCTCTTGCTTCTGATTTCTCTACTGCCGAAACCTCCCTTTCTTTTGCAGATTTCCCGTCACTTTTCTAGTTTCTCTCTATCCCTTATGCAGCCGCCGCCTACTCTCTTGCTCTCTAGAAACCCCCGTAGCCTTCTGTGTTTTTGTTTTCCCTTCTAGCAGCCGTCAATCCTTACCTCTCTTCCCGTCACCCTTCTTGCTCACTCTTAGCTCTCTGTGCGGCTGTTCTTTTTTCCCTGCAGTTTTTCTTTTGTTCAAATTCTTCTCTCCCCCGATGAAGCTCCCTGGTTTTTTGTTTTCTTTCGTTCTTCCTCCAGATTTTGCAGCCGTCGATCCTTTTCTCCTTGGCGGCTGCTCCCTCCTTTTCTATTTATATGAAGCCCCCCTCCTCTAACCTACAGTCCTTTCTTACCTATTTGCAGCCCAGGCTCCCCAGTCCTTCCTTGCAAATCCTTCCCTGCAAGCTGCGTTTTGACGCAGCTTGCATGCCGCTACTATATATATATATATATATATATATTTTTTTTAACTTAACAACTAACCGATTTAATCAAACAAAATTGATAACAATAATACTAATAATAATAAAAACAAAAATAACTTAATTAACATTGGATTGAATAAACAAAAATAAAACTAGAAATAACAAAATGCCACTTTCAATCTTCCATTTTTCATTTTTTTTCCTTTTCCATTTTCCATTTTTCATTGTTTTCCTTCTTTTCCTTTTTTTTTCAAAATAACTTAACAAAAATAAGTAAGATGCTAAAAGATTGATTTTAAAAGACATAAAACACATTTTTTGGAACACTTTTCTTTTCCCTTTGAGAACTTCTAGCTAAGATGGTTAAAATAACTAAAACTAAATGTAAATAAAACTAAATATGACAAATAAAAATAGAACAAATAAAACGAATAGTAAATAAATAAATAAATAATAAAACACCAAAAATTTGGTGTCTACAATGTGACTAGATATCCTGATTAGAGGCATTGAAATGACGATGTTACCTTCAAAGTCTTAATACTTCTTAAGAAGGAAAAAGTTCGGAGAAGAAAAAAATTTAAGTCCCATTGCAAAGCATAGTGATTGTCAAATTTGGTTGCTCCCACATTCTATTTTACATGTAGGAAAATTTTTCAAGTTGGTCCCTAATATTTATATAAAAAAATTTTTTAGTCCCTAACATTTAAAATCAACAAAAATAGTCCTTAACATATAAATTATGATCCATTTTGGTTCTAATGCTCTTATTTACTCATTTCTCTAACTGAAAATAGCACGCCTCTCTCTCGTGAGCATATTTTCAAGGGTAAAACTGGAAAACACACTTGTCATCCGTGTAAATGTGGAATTGAAGCTTCTGTTGTTGTTGTTGTTGCTGCTCATTCTTTCGGACACCTCCGAATACAAGGATGCAAACTATGGCAACACCAAAATAACAAATAGCACCTATTCCGGTTAAGCTCCACTTCAGTATATTCAACCCACCATGATCCTCTTCCCACTTAACCTCTTTTTGATTGTCAGCGTCATCCATGTTGTTGCTATTTTTCTTGATCATTTTTCCTTCTGGATCAATTTTCTGTCTTGGTGAGGAAATCTTGGATGTTTCCAGAGCCTCACCAGCAGCTTTATAGGCCTCTGCTTTCTCCTCAAATTGAAAAGCACCTGCGTCATTTTGAGGCTTTATCCCCTTAGCGGCGTGTCTGCTGCTGCTGCTGCTGCTGCTGTTGGACATGGGCGAGTCCAATTTCATGTCGGCAAATAATTCAGTTTCCTTCATTTTCTTGAAGAAAACTTGCGAGACCAGATCTTGATCAGCTTTCCCTGTTAGTATCTTGGGACTTCTGATGGATGTGTCAAATGGGCCCTTAATCACTTGTTTCAAACCTTGATCGTCAACTTCGGGGATCTGATTCTTAGGTGCTGGCTCCAGCTGAATTGGGATAGGCACGAGTTGATTAGACACTTTGGCTGCCGTCTCTGTAGTAGTTTCGACAAATTTTGATGATTTTTGAGATGGGTATATTTTCTTGTGGCTGTAATTTGAGGGGGAAAGGTGAAAAGAGGCGATGGTCAGGTGTACTTTTGCTTAAGAAGGGAAATCAAGCGTCTTTTCGATTTTGCCCTTGAAAATATATTCACTTGAGAAAGGCTTGCTATTTTTAGTCGGAGAAATGAGTAAATACGAGTATTATGACCAAAATGGATCATAATTTATTTATTAGGGACTATTTCGATTGATTTTAAATATTAGAGATTAAAAAAAAATTGTGTAAATATTAAGGATCTATTTGGCAAATTTTCCTTACATGTATCTGTCCCTTTACGTTCTCGTTTATCATCTTTATTGCCTTCGTAACGTTGAAAGAATTTGCATTTGGTACTAGCAAGTATTAGAGCTTATTTGGATTCCTGTTAGTCTCAAAAATTATAATTGTCGCATTGCAATTGCATCCACAATATCGACATAATCTGAATCATGTTGGTGAATTATAAGATCCTTCCAACACTTAAACTTGCCATATTGTGTTACCAATTTCTTCATATGTGCTCTTACTTTGCCTTTTTGCTACAAAATTTTTGGCCATTTTTTTTCCTATTTTTTATGTTACTGAAGGAGCTGCAGAAGTCATCATTGAAATAACGGTCTTCTGGCTGATTTGTTATTACTTAATTGCACTTACGCCTACTCAAATACTTAATTTAATATTTCATCCTTATTTATCCTTTTATTCCTGCTATAAAATTCATGAATCAGGTTACATAAGGGTAGATGTCAACAGATAATAATAATGTTATCTCTCCCTTTCAATGCATTTTTTAATATTACTTTACTCATATGGGCTTACAATGTCGTGCAATACGTCATTTCAGGAGAGATAGGTGAGTTTTCCAAAACTTGAGGGGCTCTAAGTGATTTCAATTCTTGAAATTAACCCCTCACTTATTAAAGGAATTGAGTCAATGAGTCCAAAAATAAAAAGGAGACCGAGAAGATTCAGTGGTATATCCTTAGCCTCTTATACTTTTAAGACCTTCTAAAACAGACCAGTGTTATTGCCTAATTTGAAGCAGTGGACCGAAAGATTTATGGACCTACATGCTTCAGACGTTTATGCTTTTTCAAACAAAACATTTTCCTAACTCGAGAAGATAAGGAACAGAGTGGATGTAAATGCTTTCACTGTTCTTGACAAACTACTAGTTGAGATATGTGCCTTTGTTCATGCGCCATGTAAATTGATCCTTATCTTCACCAACAGTAAGATGTCAAAAAGCACGTGCTAGAGCTTTGCAAGAAGGATGGAAGAAAGAAGGTACATTTTTTTTTTTTCAAAAAATTTTTTCTAATAAAAGAAGAGTGGAGTTTGGAAAGCACAGAAGAGATGGGAAGATTATAATCCACGCCCTCTAATTTCTAAAAAGAAAGTACCCTAGAAATGCTAGTGATGATATGTTATTGTAATTTTACTTGCTTAGGGATAAAAAGGATTAGTTACATTAATTTTCATGAATGAAGTGAAAAAACATACACGACTTGGGGTCCGTTTGTTTCGGGTGAAAATGTTTTCCAGGAAAATATTTTCCTAATTTTCCGTGTTTGGTTGCACAAAAGTTACTGAAAACATTTTCCTATGTAAAATATTTTCACTCATCTTATGGAAAATAACTTTCCTTCCAAACTTACTGAAGTTGTTTTCCAAAATGCATGCATCCCGCCTGTAGTATGTTCCAAACTTACTGAAAACATCTTGTAGTATTTTTTTTTTTTTTAGTGTAAACAGGAGGACTCGAATCCAAGACCTCTTCCTTACACTCCCTCCCCCGTACCACCCAACCCAACCCCCCCTAGTATATTCAAAATAAAAAAAAATCTCATCATGCTCATCCTATGCTAGTAATTAATTATGTATAATAGGGGCATTCTTTTCTAGAGAAACTTTCAGCAGTGAGAGTGCAAGATATATGTCACAATAAGCATTGCATGTGATTGATATTTGACACTAAATGGCCAACAATTTGTTTATTGGTTAAGGAGATATTTTTTATTCATATATACATTTCTCCAAGATTTTTTAAAGTTAAACAATGAGATAAATTTTCTTATTTTGCATGGGAAGAAGTATGTAGTTATAATGTGTAGAAAGTAAAGATAGAGATAAAAGTGAAAATATTTCAAAAGTTAAACAAACACCAGAAAAATGAAATGAGAAAATATTTTCAATAAGCTAACCAAACACCTGAAAATGATGAAAGGGAAATGATTTTCATGGAAAATTAATTCCACGGAAAATATTTTCCCAAGAAAAGCATTTTACTTCCAACCAAACAGACCCTTGATGGTAGATGACACTTATGATGGTATTTTTTGGCATTATACTTTTTGACAAATACAAGATCTTTTACTTGCGCTCCTCCTCTCGTTGTCATCAAACCCAATCCAATCCTCTCGGCAAATACAAGCACTCAACCCAGGATAGAACACATTAGCTGTAACTGTTCTATAGTATAAATAATGGATAAGAACCAATTGCGATGTGGAAGAAGAGTACTTCTCCACAAGTTGATGTTCTCCATCTTTTGTTTATAGAAAACGACTCCCAATTGTCGAACAAGATTAACTTGAGACCACTTTGTTAACTTAATCCCGGAGAGGACACTTCACTATTTTGGAAAATCAGGGTTTTATGGCTGAGCACAAAAAAGACAAATTCCACAATGCATCTATAAAGAAAAGGAAACAAAAATTAATGGCCAATGAACTGTTACATGATTTACAAATATTACTGGCCAACATATATAAGCGTACAACAATATGCTTTTGCATCCTATATTCAAGATGTACTCTGGTGATAAAGGATAGGAGCTAAAAGATAATCAGATTAAGGATTTTGAGAATTTTACAGATAACTTGGTTTAAAAAAAGGAATAAAGGGAAGAAACCAAATAAATCAGAACCCAAAAAAAAAAAAGAAAACCCAGATATAACAAATGACCATATGCAGGCCAGGAAGTTTATTATTACTATTATGATTATTATTATTATTAGTTACGAACAAAATGTTTATTAGAAAATTTTCTATGTAGAATTCCTGGGAAAGCCCTGGAAAGGTGTTAAAAAAAAAAAGATAAAGATGAAAGGAAAGAAGATATTCATGTAAATTGGGCTACTTATGAACTTCGCAGGGAAAGCCTGTTTTCCGATATCATTGGGAGGCACCGATTTTTCGTGTTGTTTGAGGTCTAACTTCTCAAGGCCGTATTTTTCATTTATAGAGGACTTGTATGGTTGCGTACAAGAGGACATGATAGCCTATTTGTAAAAAAAGAAAAAAAGAAATGCAGCCATTAGGAAGACGTACCAATTGCTGGTCCAGTATTCACCCGTATCGACGGGCCTGCTATGCTTGTACCATCAATCTTCGGCAGTCACCTCGATCCAACTTTTCTAGAAGTGATCCTAACAACGTGTGGGGATGCTCCAACGGCCTTAACTCAATATTGAAAGTCAGAGATTCTGATTTTTTTGATAACTTAGGGTCTGTTTGATAACATAAAAAAGTGCTGAATCTGAATTTTTTCAAACATTCGGATGTTTTGAGTGTTTGATAAATGAAAATCTATTTGCTGAACTTGTTAAGCAGTGCTGAACCTGTGTGTATTTTTTTCAGCACAGGAATCCTAACTGAATGCTTAATTCTGATAAGAATCAATAGAATTACTTCAACTACCTTATCTTATCTACCAAATCTACCCTTGTTTGTTAATTATGTTCAAAATTCTTATCTAATTAAACAACATAATATTCTCTATCTAACGATTTTTAGTTTCTCTTTTCTCCCTTTTTAATGACTTTCACATCTTCTCCATACTCCTCATATAATATATTTCATCTTTTATATTAATTTGATTTAAAAATAAATATTGTCATTTTCATACCTAACAATTTTAAACTAATTAAATCATAGATTCTATTTCTTTTTTGAATGAAAGGATATAAGGGCAAAATTGTCAAATTAAACTTATTAAGCATTCAGCTATAAATATTTATCAAACAGCATAAATAGGTTTAGCATTAAAATTCAGACATTCATATATTTTTTTCAGTGCTTAAAATTCAGTAAATTAATTGTTTCAGTATTCAGATTTCAGAATTCAGACTTCAGAATTCAGATTCAGTTTTATCAAACGGAACCTTAGTCCAATACTTAAAACTAATAAATTTAAATCTTAAAATATTTATAAGTATTTGACAATGAAAAAAGAATATCTTAATTAATTAATAGACTTGAAGTATATAGACAAAACTTACTTCAAAAAAATAAATGATAAATTATTCACTTATTATTTAATAAAGAGACCACCAAGGTGGGAGTTTAAATTACACCTGCAGCAAAAAAAATCCAAGGGTTGTGCCAAAGCACTCCCTTGGTCTAATAAGGTCTGTGTACCTACTAACCCCTAACACAAAACCTCTTTAGCCTCTCCCTCCCTTATAGTCTAGGATAGATAGGTTATACAATAATTGTCGTTTCCGGAAAAAAAAATTAACATAGAATGCATTCAAATATTAGAATACAATATTTATAATTTAATAATTTAATGGATTCAAATTTCAGATTTCAATTTTATCAAATGCACTCTATATTCTATTATTGGTTGGATGAGTACATTTTTTATTCAATACTTTTTGATTCAATAAACACTAATGTTCGTTCCTTGATTTTACTTAATTTGAACAAGAGAGACAAGCTGCATATTGACTGAAGAAAGCAGCAACACTCAAATGCATCGGCAAAATTTTTGAAGTCCTAATAATAATTTTTACTCATACTATAAAATGTTGTACATGGAGGCAAGAGCATATTTGCTTATCAGAATGCTTCCAGTCACCAATTAGCCGACAAATTTTGTTAGAACAAAGAAATGATACAACTTCAATCTGCCACAAACTCCTTCAATTTGTAGAGGGGAGAAGTAATCAATAATATTTAGCTTACCCGGAGACATATAAACATATTACTAACAATTAACAAACATGTTTATTGTATATGTGATGCAACATAAGTGGATTAAGAGGCAGAGTTGGGGCAGTGTTCATTGCCATCCTAAATACTAAAATGGGCCTGACGAATATTCTGAACGGTATAAGGCTCATTTGAAAAGCTATGATTGGAAAAAAAAATACTTGTAATTTTGAGAAGAGCAAAGTATTTCACATATTATACAAATAAATAGATAAATAAAGTATATATATTTATGACACTATTTGATAGGTTTTATTTTAGGATTGATTTTTTATATACTAGCACTGTAATAATTTTTTTTTACATTAACAGCTATAGATATATGTCATATGTGCATGATTTTAATTTCAAATTTGAATTCATGTTACGTGATATGTAATCTAAACCTGTCAGTATAAAAAAAAAATTATACACCGATAGTATATAAAAAAATACTCTTTATTTTATATATTTAGTTCTCAAAACCCAATTTAATTGGTAAGAATATTAATCAAGTGACCAAATCCTCACCCTTCCCCTTTCCATTGCACCTAAGAAATATGCTTACAAGCATTAAACCCTTTCTTAAAAAAGAATACTAATAAGTTTTTAGCCCATCCCGGCAG